CCGGGGCCGGGGGGGGCGGGGCGGGGCCGTGACTAAGCAGCGCGCGGAGCCCCCGCCACGATAAGAGCCCGGGACACGCCCCGTGACGTCACGGGACACGCCCCTCGCCGCCATAAGAGTCCCCCCGGGGGAAGCTGGCGACACCGGGAGGGTCCCCGTGACCCCCCCGTGACCCCGTGACCCCTCCGTGACCCCAAAACGCCCCCGGGACCCCCCCCGGGACCCCAAAATGTCCCCGGGACCCCCCCGGGGTCTCTGCCCAGGCTCCGCCCACTCGCCGTGACCACGCCCATATGGAGGGGGGTTTGCATGGCCACGCCCGCTCGCGTGGCCACGCCCCTGGTTTTGGGCTCCGCCTCCTTTTTGGTCTCCGGTTTGGGCCCCGCCCCCTCCGGGGCCCCGCCCCCCCGCGCGCCGCCGCCGCCATGAGCGGGGGGGGGGAGGGACCGGGACCCCCCCCGGCACCGGGACCGGCACCGGCACCGGGAGCCCAGAACGGGCCCGAGCGGGGCGGGCAGCGCGTGCGGGGCCGAGTGCTCGCGGCCTGGAACAGCGTCAGATACGGTGGGAACCGGGACACCGGACACCGGGACACCGGGAACGGGATACCGGGACAGGGGGACACCGGGAACCGGGACACCGGGAATGGGATACCGGGAGAGCGGGACACCGGGAATGGATACCGGGACAGCGAGACACGGGGAACGGGATACCGGGAACGGGATACCGGGACACCGGGAATGGGACACCGGGACACCGGACAGCGGGAATGGGATACCGGGAACGGGATACCGGGACAGCGGGAACGGGACGGCGGGGCACCGGGAATGGGATACCGGGAACGGGACACCGGGAGAGCGGGAATGGGACACCGGGACACCAGACAGCAGGACACCGGGAGAGGGCTACCGGGACACCGCACGGCCTCTCTCGCCCCCTCCCCAGAGGACCTGGCTCGGTTCCGGCGGGATTTCTGCTCCCGCCTGTGGCTGACGTACCGGAGCGGATTCCCGGCGCTGCCCGGGACCCCCCGCACCACCGACTGCGGCTGGGGCTGCACGCTGCGCAGCGCGCAGATGCTGCTGGGCCAGGGGCTGCTGCTGCACCTGCTGGGCCGCGGTGAGGACCCCCACCCTGGCCCGGGACCCCCGCACCCGCGGGAAGACCCCCGCACCCGCGGAAAGACCCTCCCCGAGCCCCCCGCCCCGTTCCTCAATTCCAGACTGGGTGTGGCCGGAGGCGCTGCTGGAGCTGGAGCCGGGGGGGTCCCGCAGGAGCCGCGACCCCCAGGGACGGACGCGGGACCCCCCGGGACGGACACGGCCCCCCCGGGATGGACCAAGGGTCCCCCGGGATGGACGCGGATCCCCCAGGAGGACGCGGGACCCCCTGGGATGGAGCCAGGACCCCCCAGGACGGAGCCAGGACCCCCCAGGGTGGACGCGACCCCCCCAGAATGGGCAGGGACCCCCTAGGATGGACGCGGGACCCCCCAGGATGGACACGGAGCGCTCCAGGGGGACGCGGGACCCCCAGGGGCGGGCACGGGACCCCCTGGAACGGGCACGGGACCCCTCGAGACAGCCCCGGGACCCCCCGGGACAGCCCCTGGACCCCTCGGGACAGCCCCAGGACCCCCTGGAACGGGCACAGGACCCCCTGGAACGGGCATGGGACCCGCTGGGACAGCCCCGGGACCCCTCGGGACAGCCCCGGGACCCCCTGGCAGGATGGACACGGAACGCTCCGGGGGGACGCGGGACCCCCAGGGACGGGCACGGGACCCCCTGGAACGGGCACGGGACCCCTCGAGACAGCCCCGGGACCCCCCGGGACAGCCCCGGGACCCCCTGGAACGGGCACCTTGCTTTTCCCGGTGTCACCGCGTGTCCCCCCCGCCAGGAGCTGCTCCAGCTCCGCTCCTGCCTCGGCATCATCGGCGGCAAACCCCGGCACTCGCTCTTCTTCCTCGGCTTCCAAGGTACCGATCCCACCTGGGGGGGGGGTCCCCGGGGGGGTTCCGGGGGTCCCCGACCCCCTCCGTGCCCCCTCCCCAGGTGATTCCCTGCTCTACCTGGACCCGCACCTCTGCCAGCCCTGCGTGGACACAACCCGGGAGAATTTCCCTCTCCAGGTGGGGGTGCCCCCCAAAATCGGGTTCTGGGAGGGGAGGGGGTTCTCTGAGTTCCGACCCCCCCCCCAAAAAAAAAAAATTTTCCCTGCCCCCCCAAGTCCTTCCACTGCTGCTTCCCGAGGAAAATGTCCTTCGGGAAGATGGATCCCAGCTGCACTTTTGGATTTTATGCCCGCGGGACGGAGCTGGAGCAGCTCTGGGGGGACCTGGCCCGGGTGAGTCCCGGGGGGGGGGTCCGGGGGGGGCTGTCCCCCCACTTTTCCCGCTGCCGACCCCTCCCCTTTTTCCCTTTTTCCGCAGGTGCTGGCCCCCCCCCGTTATCCCATCTTCACGCTGGCCGAGGGTCACGCTCAGGACCAAGCCCTGGACGCCCCCCCCGCGCCGCCCCCTCCCC